GGGAAGGTCATCGTGATGGCAATCCCAACTGGCGAAACCTCGTCTACGTGCCATACTTATTTGATAGCAATACAGGTCTGATAAACCTTTATATGTGAAATGTATGTTGTTTTATGTAACACTCTTCCTACATTAGAAAGGCTTACCTCAACCTTTGGGAAGGTTAGCGGGATAAGAGATAATGCTTTCTGGAAGCTATACAGTGGCTGCTATACTCTAATGGACATGCCTATGCAAGTACATGTCTCTCGTGCCGATTTGACCTTGGTGAACATGATACCATTGACGACCAGTCTTATCAGCGACTGGACTCATCTCGTTAAGTAATGCTGTGTAGTTCAATGCGGAGTGCTAGTGCCCGAGTCCAGAACAAGTGTCGAAGCAACCTCAGTCAGAACCCCGATTGAACTGTCATCGAAGTTTTATGCCGGCGCCAGAGCCGCCAGAGCTGCCAGAGCGTTGGATATTGCGACAGCGCTCCTGTCGACAACTTCCAGCCGCTTGCTACACAGTCTGGCCTCCCATCTGATGGTCCAGACGTTCCTCCGGGGTACGCATCAGAGATGTATGCAGCTCGGAGAATTTTCAAGAGATTTCTCCCCTCGTTAGAATGTGTATTCAGGTGTTATGTCATCAACAACGGGCCGTGAGGTTGTGACTAGGCTTCCATTTGGATTTGTTGGTTTCAAGCTGGGATCAACTGTCAGGCTTCCGTGGAGGCTAAGAGAACATCTGCGACTCTGTTGGAGGATCTGAGCACGATCATCAACATATCATGAAAAAGCAGCAGTATCATACAGAGTTTCTAAAATTAGAAGGACTTGCATCAACCCTTATCGCGAGAGGTCTGTGACTTCAAGGCATACTCGGCTACCAAGCTTGATCCTTCCTAGTAAGAAGGGCGGCCGGGTGAAGAATAGGAGTCGGGGGGTCTTTCTAATCAGTGACTGCATTCCAAGCAAACGTTCCGATAGGCAGGAAAGAGCGGGAAGAGTGGGAAGCCCAATTATTCACTCAGAGAGAGACGGGCGGACTCCTCTACGACGGTACATTGTGAAGGACGGATCTACCTAACGAGTGACAGCTCGAATCTTTGAATAGAAACATAGTATCTTTTGACTCATTGGCAGTTTTACTATTTGAAAAGCTGGCTGATGATGACAACTTTGGTAGGGCTAAATGGTCTATGGAGTCACCGCTCATAGCGGCGTGATCTGGCACTTCGATATTCAGTTCCATAAAGCTCGAGAAGCAATGCACATCACTCCAGTTTGAAGAAGCCATCAAAGATAAGTTTCACGGGCTGTGGTACAAGGCCAAAAGTTCAAATAGAAGTTGGGTATGAGAAAGTGACTTACTGCAGAATCCGACCTCCATTCTGCTAAGGGGTAAGGTGGTCTCTATATCAGAGCGCTCGGTGCTACATTGCTCCTTATAAGGCTCGGGGCCCAGTTTCTATACTCTGACTATTCTTTGGTTCCTGAAAAAGTCTGCTGGCCTCGTGATATCAGGTTCTGATTCAGTCTTGCAGTTGTTGTGGCCCTATGACATCCATGTTGGACTCGTGGCAGGAAGGATGTCATAGCTCCGTTTGGAAGGAACCAGTGAGTGCCAGGTTGGTGGTTACTTTAGTGACGACTGGCGAATAAATAGTGTTTTATCGGATTTTGGTCCCTTATGAAATTCTAAGCCCAACTTTGTCATGTCTGTATGTCCGGCTGTTGGGACCAAGGAGGCAACCAGGAGGATTGGTTGTTCTAGCTGCTACCGAGATCTAGTGCCCATAAATTAGCCTCGATGAATTTGTCAAGGCGAGGATAGAAGAAAAATCTACTCTCGATAGATAGCTCGATGAGCTTGTTCCAGTCTATGTTCCAGTCTACAACCGCCCCAGACTGGGCTGGATGGTAGAGCCACCTGCGAGGCTGCAGACATGTTACGCAAGAGAACCCTTCGTAGAATACGGGAAACCGAGAGCCAGCGGAGATGATACAAGATACCGAAATGTGACTGGCATTTCCGTCCTACTTCTGTTTCTGCAATTCTCGGAGGATTAACACGAAGCATGGTGCTCTTCTGGAGAAGAAGCACTTCGGAGTTTTCCCCCTGTGCGAATGATCAATATCTCAAGAAATGCGGATGGAATACAGAGCTTGGAAGCTGCCGAGCTTGTCCACATTGACACAAGACCCATAGTTTTCTTGTTCTGGATCGTACGGTCTCCTATGTTGAAAGATATCCAGCAAGACTCAAGAGACAAACGTCATTGCTGAAGTTTAGCCACCGTTGCGACGGTCATCATGGCATTCGATATTGGAAAGCCGCATGTTGCCATTACTGATTTGCTGGACTCGTATGAAAATAGATTGCTCTGACTTCGGAGACAATGGTGTAGCCTCAAGAGAGGGTAAAATTCTGCGGTGAGATCGATACTGGTTGAAGCATGACGGGCTAACTGCAGACTGCAGGGAGGCATTGAGGGGAATAAGTACCATCCGCAAAGACTGAATATTTTCTTTTGACAGAATGCAACGACGGTGGTAGAGTCTGAACGGCGTGATGTCAAGTTAGGTTGTCATTCTGAGGCGGTGACCGAGAAAGCGAGCTGGATCCTTGAAATGTTTGGCAATAGCTACCCAAAGGCTGTCGTTGACACTCGAGGAGCCAGATCAAGCATAAGGGAACGCATTTGTCCATAGTTAGACAGTAACCACATGCAAACTATGGATCGCAACACACTGATATTGTGCGCCCTTGCACGAAGCAGTTGAGGGTATCAACCTGCTTAGGTCTGAAAGGTGACGGCTAGTCATCTAGATACAACATGCTTCAACATGAACTTCCTGGCGTGCATTGCATGGCTCGGGCAAGTTTAAGGAACATTCACGTGGCTTTGTTACCAAGTCGGATTCGAGAAGGTACTCATGGGCAACGGTGTTTCGACAGAGACGGGTGCCGTAGGCAGCTACAACTTGCCTTATGGATGGTCGTTGGGCCAGGAGCTAGGAGCGGGAAGACGCTATGCTATCAATACGAAGTAGATTAAGCGAGGAGAGAAGACTCCGTTTAGTTACTTGTGCTCTGTGGGACCCAGGTTTCGTATAGTTGAAACCTTCAATACTATTTTACCTAGCAAGGTAACCATGGCAAGATGTGGCCGACTACGTATCTACCTTGCACGCAGTAGTCTCTTTCGCTCTGGTGAGAAGCCGAGGGACACAAGACTACCGATTTCATCACCCGAGATATACCATGATCATTGCAGGTCATTAGGACATTGAAACACATAGATATGCAAGTGCGCTGCCAGCATGTGCCACTGTCTCGTGTATTTAGCCACCGAAGTTAGAAAGGAAAGCTGACACGGTACCATAGAATACCATCAAATAAGGACACGACCTGTGTTTGATGAGAGATAGAGAATGCCAAGATGTAAAACGCAATCCTAAAGGCCGCAGACGCGCGTTGTGGATGTAACAATTGACAAGGCCGTCCCTCACTTGAGAGCGAGGCTGATGGTTGTCGTCAGCTGCGCCGTGGCCAATCTGTGAAAGACATTAATCCGCCAGGGAAAAAGGCTGCTGCTGAATGCCCCTCGAAACATTTTGATGGTCAACCACGATTCGAGGTGCGGCAAAACTCTGTTTCCATGTGACAGCTTCTTCGCCCCGAAGCATTTGATCATAAGGCCCCCCGTATTCGTGAGCTGCACCGCCACTTTGACACTTTAGAGGTTTGGAAAGTCGGGAAGGGCAACAGAGGGTGCCACGAAATGGCTGAGCTGCTGGTACGAAGGATTATTCGTCCGAATTGGACAGCTCTCGCAAGTGGAATTTGCCTTCCGGAGCTTTGATGATTTCCTTGAGCATTCCATGCCGATCACAGGCAGGTCTGGGCCCTGGTACAGATAGATGATAGACATTGGCTCAACCGTCACTTTCCCCGTTGGATGGTGAATGGCGAATGGCAAAAAGATGACGAAGGAGGGGTCCCGGCGGTCGAACGGTACGTACCATCGCACATACCATAGTAGGTAGTATCTGCCCGCACAGCAAGAATCGAGCTCTGGAGCGGGTGGGGCGCGCCAAAAAAGAAGCATGGGAGTGTGTCAGTGCGTGTGACAGCTGCCGGAGAAGCACCAACAAGCACCAAAAGGTGGTCGGAGCTCCTCGTCAGACTCCAGACCTCGCTATCCAAGGTGCCAAGGTGGCTGTGCAAGACAGGCCCAACTGGAAACCCCAGAACCATGGGAAACCCCCCACCATTGGACCAATGCTGGCGTCCACTGATTTGAGTCGAGGGGCAAAAAGGGGTCCTTCGTCAGAGGTGCTTTTTGCTGAGTGTGTGTACTCTACTATGTATGTGTCTCCGACGGTGGACCGTGGACCGGAAACACCTTGAAATGAATGGGTAGCGTCCAATGACGTCGCTCGCCGCTGAGAGGCCTCTCGGGCACACACCAGCGGTACCAACACCACGGCGACGAGCTAAAGCACGGCGGACCACCAACAGATGTTGTTTAAGCGCCATGCAAGCTGCTTCGACACACCATCAATCCAACCACAACAGCTCTCCCTACACCCCAATCCTGCATATCCAGAGACCAACTGCAGTCGTCACATAGTCTCACAGCAGCGACCTGGTGCCACTTACCATTGTTCCCTGATCCCCCAACGCATCAGGCGAATCATTGTCGCGTTTACCTCGCCTATTCGTCACCTTTGTCTGATCGCCTACCTCGACCTACAATCAATCTTCAATCTTTCGACACACTTTGTCAACTCTTTCTTCTCCCACTCGCAAGTCACCTTTAGACCCCAACGACCCTGCGATCCTTAGCAAATTTCCCCACGAACACGCGCGCCATCCGCTTCTCAAGACAGGCATAACTGTCCGCAAGTAACCGTCTTGCAAGGCCTGGCTCAAAGTAGCCAAGTTTCCAACATCGCTACGCTTGCCACTGCGCAACACCCACCACTACCACCACCACCACCATCACCATGGCTTCGGGACACAACGTACGGCCTCGAGACAAGAGACGACCCTGAACCAGCTTCGCTGACCTTCAAACCAGGACCCCAAGCTCTTGTACGCCATCAATGGCGTCAAGGCCTTCCACATCTCCAACGGCAAGGAGGAGTCTCTTACTCCCGCCGGTCCTCAGACCTTGTCACTGTTGATGGTACCAACCTCTTCGCCCTTCTCCGACGGCGTAGAAACTCCCGCCGAGGACTTCTACTTGCACCTGCACCTGCCTCCCGAGCTCGACCTCCCTCTTCCTGCCACGACCCAAATCTACCACCAGCCGCCGACGAGCTACCTGATCCCCCGATGGGACCTCGGTCCGGATAGCGGTGCCTTCACCCGCATCGAGTTTCCCGACACGGGTAGCAGAAAGGGTCTGCAAGAAGACGTGGATACCTTCGAAACGATTCTTGCGCAATGCACTGCCTTCCTCGAGCGCGCGCCGCCGCCGAAGACCACTTCCTCCTCCAAGTCGAAAGCCGCTGCCGCCGCCGCCGCTTACCCATATGACGATCCCGTGTCCGACGGCCCCGCCTCAAAGTCCAGAGCTGCTGCCGCCGATGGCCTCCCCCCTACAACCCGGCCGACTACCAGCCTGGACAGGGCTATGCACCGGGGGCTCACAGCTCATCCAACAGTGGCGGTAGGATCGTACTCATCGACGAGGAGGATGGTAGCGTCATCGGAGAGTTGACCGAGAACTACCAAGTGAACGAGGAGCTGGGCGTCAGACCTGGCACGAAAGGTAAGTTTGGCGGCCACTCGGCCGAGCTTGACTCACATGGCATGCTAGATCCGGTGGAGATTACACTCCCTGCCGACAACAGCCAAGCCATTATCGTTCAGCCCATGTCGCAGGAATACCGCGAGATGGTCATGCACCCATCGTACAAGAAGTCCTTCCTTGTCTCCAATGCCTCCAAGGCGTCGCGACTCATCGTGACGTCGTCCGACTTGGTCACCAAGGGCCTGCAGACCTCGGCCGACAGCTTCACCAAGAAGACGAAGCCGACGAACGAGCCCGTGACGTTTACGCCTGCTGCACACGACCGCGTCCGCCGCATCAACCAGTTCTCCACCAAGGCAGCTGGCTTGTCGGCGACCACGGTTGGCGCAGTGGGCAAAGTTGCCCAGAACCTGGGCGCCACCCTCGCTAGAAAGAAGGATGGCAGTGGAAGGGGTTACGACAAAGACGGTAACCCCATTGAGGGTTACAAGCCTGGCCTGCTGAACAGGAGTTTGATGGCGTTCAACACGGTCGCAGACGGCATCGACCAGGCCGGACGCAATCTGCTCACCGGTACCTCGTCTAGTGTCTCTCAGATGGTTGAACACCGCTGGGGCGCTGAGGCCGGCGAAGTATCGCGGAACATCGGCGGTGGGTTCAAAAACGTCGGTCTGGTCTATATAGACGTGACGGGTGTCTCCCGCAGAGCCATCCTGAAGAGTGTGGCCAAGGGTATGGTCGTCGGTAAGGTCAAGGGCGGTGGTCAGATCATTGTCGGAGGCGGCGATGGCGGTGCTATAGTGTACCCCGAAGACGCAAAGAATCGGAGAGACGACCAGAGCGACACGGCCAGTTTGTACACAGCATATGAAGGCAACGGCAAGCAACCGGCTGGGCAGCGATCATAAGGGTATGGTGATGGATGACCGGGTAAAAAGAGGAAGCTTGAGCTTTGAGACTCGGGGACAAGGGGACTACTCGGCTTTTTGAATGATATCAGAGTCAGTGCTTATGGATACGGCCATGGGGACAACTGCAGGGGGGTTTCTCCTTCTTTCGGTAGAAGCGTATGCAATACGAGTATACGGAACTTGGCCCAATTTAGTAATAGCAGGTCGCAGCTACTGGAGACAATTGGCTGCGTCCATTAGCATGTCCTCGAATACGTGTTTTCGGGGTCGGGTTGAGCCTTGGAACGGGTCAGACGGCTTGTGGGGACTCCACGCCGGCTCGCCGATGCCGTTGACGCTTACCTAATACGTTCAATATCACGTGCTGACGGGACGCCTTGCGCGGGTCTCAAAAGCAGCCACTTTAAGACGCTTCCGTCGCGTCCAGTCGCGCTTTCCCTCGACGCCCATCTCCTCAATGCGTCTGCTGTGATTTTGGAAGGGACCAGGCGTTCAGCATGGAGCCTCCTTGACGCCAGCGCATTTTTGTTGTGGCTCGAGTTCCCCTATTCCCAACTGAGAGGAAGAAGTCCAATTGGGCTCGTGCTACGATAATTATATGCAGGCAAAACCCAACAGGTAAATCTATCCATCTGTCAACCATCAGCTCATCATCACCCCCCGTCGTTGCAACCCTCTATCGCTTCCTCCTGCCCCGCCGTTTCCACCATATCCCGGAACCACGCCAGTATCGTTTTCTCTTGCTGTCTGCTACATCACCAGACGAGTAAATGTGTCGCTTCGAGCTCCTTGGCGCCTTTATTTTGCTTCTCCGCGACTTTGGCGAAAGGTCAAAGTCCAAGAAGCCGCCGCAACCCCGCGAAATGTGCCATCTCTTCTCCTTGCCCCGGGCCCCGGCTTTCCCGCCCTCGTAAAACCCCTTGCTGTACATTGACCGACTAACGCCGTCTTTTTCTTCTCTCTCGCAGAAGCAAGCAGCCGTCATGCTCCACGAAATCCTCCTCGCCCTCTCCGGGCACCCCTCCCCTCTCCTCCGGACCGACAACCCCGACCCCAATGCGCTACCAACGGCCGTCTCACCCCCGGAGCGCGAACTCCTAGCGACCGCTGCCCACCTCAGCGACCTCCACGTCAAGCTGCAGGGCTACACGGGCCCCATTGCCGCCGAGCATCCGTCCACCATCTGCCGCGCCGTTGCGACCGCCGTACAGTCCGTCCATCTTGCTGCCTTCCAACGCAAGGTCCTTGAGGTCGAGGAGACGATCTTGCGCAAGGACTCAAGCCTCGTTGGCGCGTACAACATCGTGCCTCTGACGGCCGTTGTCGGGGAGTTCTCCGAGTGGACGCGGCGGATGGAGTGGCTGTGGGAGATTGTGCAGTTCATGCTGAAGAAGCAACAGGGGCAGACGTGTCGCGGCGCGCAGCTCATCGACAGATTGAGGAGCGAGCTGCAAAGCGGGTACGTGGATATCGAGCGGACGGCCATGAGCCTCGTCTCTGTGGCAGAAACGGCGTGGTTGAAGCAGGTGTCTGCTTGGATTCTCTACGGGCGTCTGCCAACGTTTGGAGGTGAGGACTTCTTCGTTCAGAAGGCAGACGGTGGCGATCAGGTATGTTGTTATACTGAGGCAGTGTGGACTTGGAATGACTGACTGGCTTAGGAGTACGCTTTGATACCGTCTCTGCTGCCAAAATTCGTGACTCCGGCAATCGCATCGTCGATGCTCTTCATCGGCAGGTCACTGAACCACGTCCGCGTCAAAGGCAGTGTTGAATCAGGCCTTCAAGGCCTCGACCACCTCTCCTCCCAGCTCAAAGAGCTGTCCGCCTTGACATATCCCCTAAACACGGCCAGCTTCTCGCGCGCAATCACATCCATCCGTCTCACCCTTTCACGAACGATATTGCTAAAACTGCTGCCCCTCACGAAAGTCGTCGAGGCTCTTCAGGTTCTGAGGGAGTTTTTCCTCCTAGGCCGAGGCGAATTCGCCATGGCCTTGACACAGCAAGCAGATGAAAAGCTGCGCAGTCGGTGGAAACGGTCCGACAACCTTGCGTATGAGAAGCGCGAAGGTTTGGGAACATTCGCGGTCAAGGAGGGTGAGGTTGCGGCTGTGCTGGCCAAGACGTGGGCGGCGATGGGCCTGATGCAGGGCCAACACGCAGACGAAGATGAAGGGTTGGAGATTGCGCGCGAACTGCTGCGGTTAAGCCTCACCAAGTCTAAACCGGCGGTGCCCCTGAAGCTTGAAGCTAGCGTATCACGGCCGACGACGAAGACCCTGGCTACGACCCCATTTCGCAATCTCCTGCTTTCCGTCCCGGTCGTTTTGACCATGCAGATTCCGTCGCCCCTAGACATGTTCCTCACACCCTCCGATCTCCAGATCTACTCCACCATAAACTCATATCTTCTCTCCATCCGTCGAGCACACATACGTCTCACTGAGCTGTGGAAGATCACGTCTCTACGTCGGCATCACCCGGCACCGCCAGGACCTCCCGCTGGAAGCACTCGAGTCGGACGCTCCAAGGTGGTCCTACTTCGCGAACGCTCCACGGCGCGGTCCAATGCCTTGCGCAGTGCCTGGGTAACCTGTAGCGCATCGCTGTTTTTTCTCTCTGAGACGGAGGCTTACTTGCAGACCGAGGTCGTGGCAGGTCTATGGGACGGCTTTCAGGCCTGGCTGACTTCGAGCGAGAAGAAGGATGGTCAGACGACGGCACCGGCCGGCGTCTCGTCTAAGGCCGTCTCAAAGCCTACATCAGAGGTTGAAGAAGAAGAGGACGACGACGACGATATCTGGCTCGCTCAGAGCACAACTACTAAAGAAGCGACCCCCAAAGCAGCAGACTCAAACCCAACACACGACCCTCAGAGCCTCGCCACTGCGCATCGGGCCTACCTCCGCGCCCTCTCCACCCGCCTCCTCCTCACCTTCCCCTCCTACACGGACCCGCTATACAATCTGCTTACGCACACCGATCATCTTGTCGCACTGACACAACGTCTTCACGCGGTCTGGACATCCATGGATCTCGAAGCGGACGCTGGCGTCGTAGACGCGTTTGTGGACCTCGAAATCGAGGAGAAGGAGGTCCGCGCTGCGATCCGCGACGTGGAGAAGCATGTCAAGGACGGCATCCGGGATGTCATCGCCGCGCTGCGGGCGCTGGAAACAGACCCCGCGGCGTTCGCGGACGAGGAGGAGGGCGGCGAGGAGGGCGTGCTGAGAGAGGAGGGGGAGTACGTGCCGCGTAGGGTCGGCGGCGTGGAGAGGTTGCTGATGAAGCTTGACTTGGCCGGGTGGTTTGGGGAAAGGAAAGACGATTTCGGGTTCGTGTTTAGCGAGTATTGAGCAAAGCGATGATGTTACGATTTTTATGGTACTCCCCTCGTTGCACCCGCCACCCGCCGCAGAAACCTTACGACTCGGACGAAGAGAGAGACATCACATGAAGACGCCCTCCCCATACAACCGGCGCGAGAAAGCCCTTTGGAAATCACACACGCGAAGGACCGCAACACAGCCACATGCCGTCACATTGCACATCTTGAATGTCCGATCGGAAAACAACAGCAACAGCCTCATCTGCAGAGGTCACGGGCTGCGATGAGGGCGATGCATGACGACAAGTCGAGAGCCCTCGATGTGCGTCTCTGGGCGGAAACCAACGATCAGTGCGTCAAGGGCTCGAAAGGAGGGGGGGTGAGGGGGGACGAACGTGTTCGTGCAGTCCGCCCGCATCGTGCGAGGCGACCGGACCGCCCAGCGAAAGCGAAGCGAGCAAAAGGAAAGCCGACGACACACCGGCGGGACGGACCGGGTGGGACGTCATGGGTCACGCCAGAGCGGAGCTGGGGGAGCTGGTGTCGGCTGTGGATCGTGGCGGGGGAGGGGGGGGGGCTGGAATTTCCCAAAAAAGGGGGTCTTGCTTGGGGCTTGGCGGTTCCAGGCATCTCATGATGGGCGCGGGTGGTACGACGTTGACGCCGTCCTACGAACCCGCGGTCGCGCTGTTGTTTCTCTTTCTTCCACCATGGCACCGGAAGCTGGTAACGTTCGCAATGTGTCAATCGTGTGTAACTGTCGCATGCTCGGGATTCAAGGAAGTACGTGAGCAAAAGGGGCGTTTGCGTGTGTCATGGCCCCCAGTTCACGCAAAGAGTGGTTCAGGCAAAATAGCATACAATCATACTGCTTTCATTCATAAAGATCCTGTCTATGGGACAAGACTCAAAGCGTCTTCTCCGTTTCCCAGATCCCAATGCACCGGGTGTCCTACGCCTGCTCCGATGCGTCCTCCCAAAGAAAATAGACACACAGAGATGTACAGACGGGAAGGGGGGAAGAGAGAGAAAATAAATAGTAAGAAAAACGCCATCGTCCACTCCATTGTCCCTTGGAGCGGGAAGAATCCCCGTGGTATCCTAGTCCATCGTATCCCGTTGCTGTCATCTGTGTGCGTGTATATGTGTTTTTTTGTATGTGCTGTAGCGCAGTTCGCTGTTGGTTCTTTCGCTCCCTTCTTGGAGCTGTGCTGTATCCAATTTGCCGCCTCCATCAAGATGGAGGCGGTTCTGTTCCCGATTTATTTTGCCAAGGAAATAAGAGCCGTACTAATACTGGCAAGATTCAAACATTTTGAGAGGAAGTTGTTTTTGGCAGCTCTGAAACAAGTTTTGCATGCCAAGTGAAACTGAAATGCTGCCGTCGTAGTACCCGGTAGAATCCCACATCAGTAGGTCGAAATCGGGCGTTGCCGCAGCGGACTCGAAATCTGGTCCGAGCCACGGCGCTGGAGAAAGTGTTGTACAAATGCCCGGGGCCGACGTACTCGACGTCCACCGTCCGGGACGTCAGAGGCACCGGGATGCGGTGGACCTTCTTCGTCTGCCAGCGGTACTTGATGCAGTCGTCGACGAGAGCCATGAGGCCCGTGGCGACGATGACATCGGCGACATCGGTGACGGCGTCAAGGACGCTGCGGTCGCTGATCCACATGTGGCAGGGGGGCACCCAGCCGCCGGCGCTCTCGTCTTCAATAACCTGGTTCGGCGAGCGCGTCTCGGGGACGATGTGCGCGATGGCGTCGCTGGCGTTGTTATTGCCGTCCTTGACGAGGTGAAAGGAGACGACGCCAAGGTTCTTGTCCAGCACGCGCTTCCACTGGTACTTGTGACCCCACCATTCAAACTCGTAGCGCTTGTTGTTGGTGCCGCCGCGACGCGAGACGTCGACGCGCGCGTAGTTGGAGAACTCGAGCTTCATGGTGTTGCTGGGTACGGGGCGGGCCTTGGGCTTGGGCTCGGGCTCGAAGGAAGCAGAGCGCCTGAAGTAGCTTGCGGTCTCGTCGGTGCTGTTGCGGCAAGACGAGGCGCTGGACGGCGGGCGCTGCGAGGCCACGTCCTTGCCCTTACCGGCCAGGAGAGACCCGCCAGAGTTTGTGCGCAACAAAGGTCTCCTCATGGACAAGGTCTTGATGGCGCTCGAGACCGATCGTTGGAGTGTTGGCCGTTCGTTGACGGTCTCCTCGACGTACTTGCGCTTGGAGTTGCAGACCTCGCGGCCCGAATCGCGGCAGTATCTTCGAAGGGAGAACTCGCGCTTGCCGAGGTCGTACATGCGCAGGTGGAAGAGCTGGATGTTGTAAGGGCGACGGCCGGGTGCGACGGTGTCGACCCTCAGGTTCATGTTGCCGTCGGACGTGAACTCGTCATGGCAGATTGATAGCCTGTTCATGGACGGAAACAATTTTGCAAAGTCTTGGGGGTTTGAGGGCCGGACATCGGTGTCGATGATATCGCGGTAGTAGGCGGGCAAAGGCGGAATCTCCTGATGCTCGTCAAAGCTGCCCATCTCGGAGTCGCGCTTCAGCTCCAGCTCATCCTCGTCGTCGTCGGAGGCCAAGCTGGAGTCGAAAGTATCGACAGAAGATCGAAGGTGGTTGCTCGTGGATGGGGATATGTCGTCCTCGTAAACCGGTTGAAACTTGTGGGAAACGGCCTTGGCTTCCTTGACTGATGCCTCGGTGCTTGCATAGTAAGAAGTGGGCGTTGTGCTTTGTGATTCATACGTCTCGTATGAGTCGCAGGACTCACTACTCCTCCGGGAACCTCGACTACTTGTCGAGCTCTTGGAGCTGTTTTTTCGATTTGACTGAGGCATCGTGTTGTGTGGTGTTGTTGTGTAAGTCGGAGAGTTGTTTAGGGCCATAGGGATGACAGTCGGTGGTGGTGTCTGGGTATGCATGGACCGTCAAGGGAGGTGTACAAGGCGTCATATATTCCAAGCGAACAAGCCTGAGGAAGAGGCGTACTGGGTTGGGCTTTGGAGTCTTGGGGAGGGTGAGCGTGAGTATTGGTGAACAGTTAGGCAGTGGTGTGTTTGACTTGTGGCCGGGGTCTTGGTTTCTGGTCAGGACCTGAGGCGAGGGAGTTCGGTTGGATCAAGCAGGGATGTGTGAGTCCGCGTGTGTGCGTGCGTGTGAATTGGGGCGGTTCTCCGAGTTGGAAAAAGATGAGAAGTGAGAATGATTAAGAATCGGCTATGGAAAACAAGTGTTGGCTATTGGTACAGTTGTGAGAACATAACAATCAGGCAGAGAGAAGGCAGCCCAAGGGAACAAAAAAATAAATGCAGAACAGAGAAAGGGTAGTAAGTGGTGATGGGGGTCGGGGCGTTACGGGGTGGGGAGGTGGTTTGGTTCTTGATGGAGGGTGGGCAGACAGGGAACAGGTTGACGGGGATCGGAGATGTAGAGGTAGCGACGGTAGAAACGTACACGCGAGAGGCACTCCGTACCACAGTAGTGTAGGTACGTAGGCACGATGGGATGTACAGTAGCCAGGTACCTTGCCACGGGGCGCCGGATTGAGGTCGTCGAGCTGTCGGCCCTGTTGCGACACCACACGACTGGAACTGGAACAGCAGGCCCTGGTCCGTTTCCCACCCTTCCTTGCCATCCCCCTGCTTGGCCAGAGGTGCCTTGCGGTCGAGACTAGCGTCACTGCTGCGTGTCGGTACGTAACGCCTGGCCTCTGGGGCCTCCCCCATGTCTCTCACCCGTAAGGATTGAACACGATGAGGTGCCGAATGGGTTTGGAGACGGCCGAGAGGAGACGATACATTTCATCTGTACCTGTATGGCTGCTGGGAGGCGCAAGTCGACGGAGTGGACGGAGGACGAAGCCTCATGGGGAATGTGGATGCGTGGTGCAAGGCGAGGACAAGCATGGACAAGTCATCATCATTCGCTTTATCCTCGGGCAAATTTGCATGCTGAGAAACTGCGAAATGGATGAGTAACATGGACAGACGTGTGTGCTGGACTGCGGTCGATGGTTGTGGTGGTGGGTGACCGCAGCAAGGTTCCGCGACATGTACCGCCGTACCCTTCTTTATTTTCTGCTCGTTTTTGGCTTTTGGGTGGCAGCGAGACACCCGCTCGGATTTTGTGGGGGACGGAAAGATGGGAGGAAGTCTCGCTGAGCTTGGCTTTACAATGCAGAAACAGTCGCCCGCGCCAAAGGGACAGGAAGAGACGGAACCAAGCTGGGAGGAGAGATTACGGGGAGAACAGGAACCGTCGTTCGCCGCGCCATGTTCCTCGTCGGCAACGGTACGAATGGATTGTATTCTGTACCGTGCCATGTACTATAGTACATCATATAGCATGTAAGCTGTGAGCGGGAAAAGTCCCACGAATAGGCGCGACGTCGCATTTCTAGCGTACCAGAAAGAAAAATAAATGTTTGGCCGTTCGATTCCGCGGGCTCCTCCAAAGGGATGCTCTTATTGGAACAATGGCACCTGTGCGTCTTGTCTGAGAAAGGGGAGAGAGAGCTTGGGGGTGGCACCACAGGTCTCGCGGTTTAGTTTCCGATGGCATGTTTCCCAGAGACCTTGACCCTGCCGAGCCCGTCCTGGAGACTCTTACCTTTCCTCTTTACCATTAGGAGCTCTCCTCCCCATCAAAGTCATGCTAGAACGACAGAATACGATATAGGCACCTGCTTTTGAGTCTAGTTACTCTTGTGCGTGGATAGAGTCATCTGTACGACGCATCGTTCCCTTTGGAGACGACGTCGGCCGGGAAAGCTCGGTTTGCTCGTCTGCCAAGCTTTCCGAGAAGCCCCAAAACTTAGTTGGCCAAATTAATTAATTAATTGCAGCCCAGCGACAGCAAACCTTTCTCGCCTGCCAGCGTTTTTGGGGCAGAAGCCGACGCCTCTGGTGGCTGAGTAAAGTACAGAAGTCGCAGTTATGGCTGACTATTGAACTAACAGAGTCCGAACTGAACTCGAGGCGGTTTTCGGATGACCTCCGGCCCACTGGATATCCCAGCAGTGACCGAAAAGCCTCAAACCTGCCTGCTTGGCTAGGCCGTTAACGAAGCTGCTCTGTCACTGCTAGCCAATGCTGTGTGGCTTGGGCGGCGACTTTATTCAGCCTGACCATCTCTTTTGTGCCGTTGTCATCGCCGCGTCCGTCATTTTCTCTCATCCTTCTATCCCATGACCTAGCGATGCCACGAGTGAGCTTGGGAAGGAAGGCAGCAACCGAAAAAGGGCTTCTCACTTGCCAAAAAAGACTGCAGTATGACTAAATCATCTAGCGACGATCGTCCTTATTCGACCGTCCTGGACCATCCACCAGGGAGAACCTCCCCCTGCTCATTCCTTTTTTCTCTCCCCTTCTCCCCTTCTGATTGAGCCATCGCATCAATCATCGGCAATCCTCGCCATTCTTGTCCGTTTCCTCCGTCACTGTCCGCACTCGCGCCGCTTACACCACGACCCTCCATCTTCGGCTCCCCCTGCCAACTTCCCAAGACTTCGACCTGCGTCTAGAACGTGCTCCCCTCTTCTCCTCTTTTCTCTTCGTCGTTTTCGTCATTCGCTGGCCACTCCGTTATCTGTGGTGTATCATACGCAGTAGTAGCGAGCTTTCTCTGTATTCGCCCAAACCCCACGCTTTACTCACAATGGATACTGACGTGCCGCTCTTGATTCTTCCTCGTCTTACTACTACCCGTTACACATTCCGTCAAACCCCGTCTCACGCAATGGATTTGATAAAGCAGCAGTGTCCAACTCGCCCCCATCGACCGTCCAATCGACCATGATCTGTCATCGTCGCATTCGCGATGCCACCCCCAAGCGCCCCATAACACCCCATCCAGACTCCAAAGACCTTCTGGAATTCCTTTTGATAGTCACCGCATCGCAAAATCGCAAGTTTGTGGAAGCCCGGGTGCGCCAACACGCTGTTGACAGAGGGAGTGGATGACACCTTGTGCGCAACACCAGACCCTGTTCTGTACTCCACGATTCGCGGACGCGACTGCGCTACCGCTTACACAGCCCTCGGGTCTCAGGCGGGTCCGTCCTCACTGTAGCCTGCCTTGCCTGCATCTGTGGTCGCCGCCACTGCTGTTGTTGACCAAGCTCAATCCATCAAGTTCACTGCTTCTCTTTCACGGGACGGACCACGAGGCACGTCGTAGACCCAGAGGCTAGAGCCGGCTTCGTCAACCCCCACCAGCTTCGTTGGCCGCCCGGTCTCCTGCGCTTAATTTAGCTCGCACGTCTGTCAGCCCACACCCAGCCGCCATCGTGACGCCGCCGTCCTTCCCCACGATGCTGCCGCCTCAGACCGCATCTCTCACCTTCAGCTGGCCTGGGATGGCCATGGCTGCGAGCCAATTTGGGGGCCTTTAGGTTTTCCGCTGCTTACTACGAAGTCACACGGAATCTCATCTACTGCGTCTACGCTGATGCCCAACGACATGAGCCAGGAGCCAGCCCCACGATCCGGTCAAATCGAGGCTGCATTACACATTTGGTTCATTGGCGTTCGCGGTTACGATCAAAGCCCCATAGCCCGCTCTCGCTTCGTTGTCCTCTGGACGGAGACCCAGCCCGTTGTTCCTACGATTCCGACTCGGCAGCGTTTTCTTGGGATTCGGGGTCTGGTCCAAATGCGTATGCTGCCTGGCTGTCCGTCTGGTCTGGCGCACTTGACGCAGAAATCCCCCTTGCATGTCCAACTAGCTTATCTCCAAACCCACAGTAGTGAGCCCTGGCCTGGAACACACCACGAAAGATGCCGGAGCGAGCTAGATTGCTGCAAACCCTCGATGCCCGCCATTGAGGGATGTGTAGGAAAGGTCGCGGCTTCCCTCTAATCACTTTGCGGCTTGATAATTCGATGTGACGCAACAAAGTTTCTGGTCCGACTATAAACTGCGCAGCTCTTCCGGCTTGAGACATTCATGTCTCACGACCTTGCATCGAGGAGATCGACATGCTCGAAGACTGTTTCTTCTAAATCTTCTTGTCCTCCCGTTTGAGCGGTGCGGTCATCTTGGCTCTGGATCGCGGCCGTGTGTCAGATGCTGATTCGCTGGATCTACAGTGTCACTACGTCCGACAGTCGGCCCTGGTCCGGCCAGTTCTTGAGCACCGAACACGTGCTATCTTTATGAACATGTCCTTCGATTTTGACAGGGGTCGTCGACTACTGCTGTAACCCGCCAATGGGCGCTGCGTCCCGCTCCTACCAATCTGCTTGCATCTTTGAGATCTTTTGGCGGCCCAACGCACACTGTAGACCGGCGTAGGGCGAACTATCAGGCATCCAGACTCTATCTTGAGTCTGGAAAAGGCGACCAGATGGCATCGAAACCGGCGCCCTGGGGCCTGTTGTTCGACCACACTGCCGTCGCGCTTAAAACGAGCTTGAAACTGCGTCCCGGGGCATGCGGCGCCGCATGGCTTTCGACGTCTATTGCAGGAAATATTGACAACGGCCGCATATCTCCCATGCAAAGGGAAAGGCAATCTTGACTATCAATTAGTAGTTGGTGTGCTGATCAAGACGACGGCCGCTTGCTCCCTTACTGATTCAGCCCCAGTCCCTTGATCGGCGTTCCTCCGAGCTCCTACCCGACGATTTGCATCCTATGGACCTTGCCGCAAATGGCCGAATTCACAAGAAGTCATTACGACGTGAAGATCAACGTTGTCGTTGAGTAACATTCTCATGCTCGAAACCCAATCGGGATGGCTCGTGGTATGCAGCGGGCGGACACCAGCCAGACCATGCTGCGGGTGTCTCCCTACTTGTCGCTCCTCGATCCTGATTGTCGGGACTGGAAGCTTGGA